GCATCTTCCAGCATAATGGGGGGGGGGGAGCATAATTAAAAAAGTGGCGGAGCATAAGAAAAAAATCGCCGGGGCAGACCGTATAAGAAAAAGCGGGGGGAGCATAAGAAAAAAATCGCTGCCCAATGAGAATTCTTCGCTGTGAGTGCATCTTGTGCTTTGGGCGGCTCGACATTGGACCCTGAAGTGAAATCGCGCCGTTCCTAACTTGCTGGTCACATCTTGAGTCGAGCAGTAGCTTCAGAAAGCTTCTGGCCCTGAGTGACCGCCAAAAGCTGAGGCGAGTGACGTTCTCGTTCGACTCCTGCGGTTGGCTTTTCGTGTCCAGGATGCACCTCACAACTCCTCTGACCACGGAGCGAAAGCAGCCGAATGAGACAGAGGGCAAAGTCGGAAACAGAACATGTTGTCCGTGTTGTTTGATGTTGTTTGATGTTGTTTGATGTTGTGAGGTTTATCACTTTGGTGTGGGCTTCTGGCTGAGTGACCATCTGGGCCTTCTCCGAAAACCGGACGAGTCCCACTCCATGCCGGATGAGGCCCCTATTGAAGTCGTGCTACTCCCCGTGATGAAAACGCCGGAAAGCATCGAAAAGCCATTGTCAGCCGTTTCAAGTGGCGAGGTAGCCTTCAGCGGCTCTTCGGGTGGATCGCTGATTGCGAAATGGCCTCAGCAAGCCATGGCTGATGCATCTCAAAGAAACTGAGGAGCTCTCAGATCGCCTTGCAAGGGCTCACGGCTTCAAATAGCGCCCAGGTGCGTCCTGGCCTGTGGCAATAATGTGCGCGACGTTTTCGACTTCATTGTCGAGCAGCAGACCCCTCATCAAACTGCAGCCTCGCTCAAGACTGCTGTGAAACCGCTGTGAAACAGCTCAGGCAACCGCTTTGCAAACGCAATCCTGTGGAGCCTCGTCTGCACCGCTCGCCATTCTTGAAGCACTTCCCCAAGTAACCCTGAAGCATCCAAAGAGTGGGGTGTATTCAGTGTAGTGTCACGTAGATGAGGCGTGTGGAGTGTGTGTGTGTGTAGTGGAGAGTGTGGCCTTCGGTGAAGCCGGGCACCTGTTCATTCGCTGGCATCGAGGAGATGTTTCGCGCCGTCGAGCGGGCACTTCGCAAGTTCCAGTTTGAGGTTCGTCAGGGGCTTGCGGCCTTGCTTCCGTAGCTTCAGAGTCAGTGAAGCCGGCAGTGATGAGGCACGAGATGTTTCGAGCCTCTTGCTCTTCCTTGGCACTGCTTGTGGCACTGCTTGGCAGGGGGCGTACTTGCGCCTCATCGGCCGTATGCGCGTCACTTCTCTCAAACAGGCAAGAAAGATCTGAGAGCATCAGGCGTGAAAGATCTGAGAGCATCAGGGCATGTAAAGCTCTGAAATGACATGTTGACGCAGAGCCAGACGGATCCAGACGGCGTTGCTTTGCCTGAGTGAATGCAGCGTGGTTCGGTGCTCAGGTTCTGCTGACAAGAGTGATGCAGCGCCCGCCATTTGTGCAAGGAGAGGCCCGCTCCCACGATCCGCTTCACCTTTCATGGATGCCTTTTGTTGGCTGGTAGAGTCGAGTTCATGGACGCAGGTCATTGACAAGTTTCCAGACAATGAGACAGTGATTCAGACTCTCTGCGCATCTTGTCGCTAGCCTGCGAGACGAGGGTGGAGCGGTGGAGGGACATGCCCCGACAAGACATGACTTCTGGCCAATTAGCCGTACCCTCCAGTGATCTTGCAGCTCGCGAATACGTGCGGATGCGTGCGAATGCGTGCGAATGCGCGCGAACCACAGTTCGTAAATGTTGCGTAGATCCCAATCCAATCCAAGCACGGACGAGAGTTTGTGCGGACTCGCTTGCTGCAAAAGGGCAGCTGCTGGTAGCTTGGAGGTGTGCTCAGGTCATGTGCCAGTCTTCGCCGGCCTATTTCCCAGGTGCATCTTCGGCAGCTCGACAGAGTTGGAGTTTTAGGTTTTTGCTTGCCCCGTCGGCAGCCCCGAACCAGAATTGGTGTTTGTTTGTCCCATGAACATGTAAAGAAATGCTCCCAGACCTGCGGCCTTTTCCCCGAGAGCACCCAGGCCGCTACTACTACGACGGCTTGGTCTGGCCAGACCGACTCCTGGTCCCATGGCGCGGAGCACCGGGACCGAGGGCCGGGGTTTCGCACAGCCGTCACAAGCGCCGAAGACCAAAGCCCTCTTTTAAGTCCAGCCATGAAAATTCGAAGTCTCCGATGGGATGTGAAGCAGAGCGGCGTACCGCATGGCGGACTTTGCATTCAAGGGATCCAATGTGCGGGCTTAGCTCATAAAACGCAGGCTTTGTGCCAGAGGACGAAGGTTGTAAGGTTTCACTGTGGGCGCCTGATTGAGTCATACGTACGCTCTGGCACCTTCTTTGTTTCAGGCAGGTTTGTCGTGGTAGGCTCGAAGAGCAGCTGTCAGTCTTTCGCTCAACTGAAGTTTGGGCCAGTCATGGCAGGAGATCACGTCGTGCGTGTGTCTGCCTGCGCGCATCCATTGGCTGATGTGAAGCGACCCGGCGAAATTGCGGACCAGTGGGATCTGTACATCAGTAATTCATCAGTACTTACTGTTCTGTACTTGGTCATGGTGGGCCTTTCGACTGCCCTTGGAGCCTCGTGTGTCAGCGAGCTGGGTTGTGAAGGATTGACCGTGTGCCTTACTGGTGGGCTGTGCTGCCTCCCGAGCCTCGGGTGCTGCGAGGTGTGGACTTCGAAAGAAGTTTTTGTGTTAGCTTGTATGAACTTGTGGGTACATGAGTATTCGGCTGTGAAGGCATCTTCTGGTGCGGGTACAGGGACACCGCGAAGTGGTTTTCCACGAAGCCAGAGGCCCCGCCAAGTTGGTTGAACTAAAGTTGTATTCGTTTGCGTTTAACGCTTGCGTTCAAGTTGTTTCGATTCAGAGCCGGGCGTTTCAGCTTTTGATGGAAGCTTCTCATGGAATCTCACGGAAGCGCCGAGGAACGGCAGGCGTCGACATCATCGCAATTTCTGCTTATGTTTGCTTTTGAGTCTGGAGCGGGTGCCAGGACTCGTCTGAATCCTGCTGCAGGAAGAACCCTCAGGTGGGGTTTCGGACAGTGCAGTACAGTGTAATCCTTCACGGCAGCTCACCGGTTGTCATCGTTAGACGGCGTCACTACGGCTTCTTGAGTTTTCTTGAAGCCAGGCCACCACGGCCGCAACAGCAAGGCCACAAGTATCAGGATTCTCCGGGTCTCAACTGCCTCAGCAACATTATGCTGCCAGCTGCCAGGTGGCGCGCAGCGCAGGCCCTCCTCAAAAAGGCGGGGGCGGAGAGAGGCGGAGAGAGGCGGAGAGAGGCGGAGAGAGGCGGAGAGAGGCGGAGAGAGGCGGAGAGAGGCGGAGAGAGGCGGAGAGAGGCGGAGAGAGGCGGAGAGAGGCGGTGTAAGATGGTTGTCAAGGCCACTGAATTGCGGTGGAGACACCTTGGTTGACTGTTCCAGGACCCTCGGGCCGAGCTTCCCGAGAAAGATCCAGTGACAGGAGAGAGCGCGCAGACCTCAAGGGAAGGGCCGGATCTAAACAGCGGTCTGAGAAGCTTTGTGAAGCTCGGCGAAGCTCTTTCTCTCTCTCTCTCTCTCTCTCTGTGGGTGTGTGTGTGTGTGTCTCATCTGCTCCGTTGGTCATTCGAATTTGTCAATCTTGTCAAATTTTTGCTTGACTTCCGAAAAAGCTCCCAGACTGTGCAATGTTGCAGATGTGGTCCGAGACAGTCCCCATGCAGGTCTCGGAGCTGATACGGGAAGCGGAAGCTTTGGCGGCCGAGGCGATGTATCGGGTTGGGGATCTCCCGTGGAAAGCCGCTGTTGCTCCTGAGAGCTTGGGTCTACCAAGCGCAGTCTCGTTGCCCTTGTGTTTGGGAAGGCTTCGAGATTTCAGGTTCAGGGTTTGGGGTCTTGGAGACTTAGGGCTTAGCCTGTCAGGTTCTCAAGGGTCTCCCTCCCCCCCCCCCTCCCAAAAGAGATCCATAAGCAGCCCGGGCAAGGTTCTGGGATTGGTGTTGAGTATTAGTTAGGCACTGGAGGGTCGTCAAATACCGGAGGAGGGGGAGTTTATTATAGCAAATGTTGGGTCAACTCCTGTACAAAATAACCACCACCATCTACCGAGGTATCCCGAAGGCCTCGAAGGGGTTTGTTCAAGTCAGGCCACTCTCTCCGCTTCTGTGGCGGTGACTGCCGTTGTGGCGCTTCTATCAGCGGCTGTGCTTGCCATTCCTGCGATCTGGTGAGGGTTTGTGTGGGTGGCTGTGAGTTGTGACTGCCGGCTTGAGCTCTGCTTATCGTAGTCGTGAGAGCCCTGGGACGGGGTTGCCATAGGCACCTTCCCGGCTTAATCTTCAAATACCACTACGACAGCATTCAATCTCAAGGACAAAGTTCTCCTTGAAGAAAATGAATGCAGATGGATCTGTGTTCATGAACACGCATTCTCAGTTGTGGTTTCGACATTCTTATGTGCATGCTAGGTGCATGCTAGATGCATGCTAGGTGCATCATAGTGCGTGTGCCCTGCAACAAAGAACTCCATTGTACAGAGTGGAGAGCAAATGCAAAGGTCAAAAGTCCTTCTCAATAAGAGGGCCAGAGAAGATGTTACGAGATGTTGTTCTGCTGGGAATTCTTCAGACACATTGTCAGGCCCTTCAGGAGAAGGAGAGTAGCTGGTGTTGTTGTTTTGTTGTAAGCCATGTAAGATACAGCATTTCGAGTTCCGAGGAGTACCACTTAACGGTAAGCTTGCGTTGCGGATTCCAAATTGGTTCTACGACGAAGAAGCGAGATACGGTTGGCATGGGGCAGGCGCATCATTGCGTAATATGTTTCTGGCGAAGTCGAGGGTCGTTGTTGTGCTTTAGGCCGGCATGCCAATGTGTAGCACGCTGCGCTTGCGCGACTTTCTATTGCACATCTTCATCCCATGTCCATCTTTGCCAGGGGCGCTTCGTCGTGCGAAGTGCCTTCATTGGCGAGCGCGAGGAATTTTGCCGTAATGTCGGAGTCAAGAACCTGCATTGCGAGTCTCACGGCTTGCTGCCCAGTAATTTTCGATGAGGGCATCCTGAACTTGCATCATTGTCTTATTGTTGGGGAGTTCTCCTGCTCCCCTCCCTCCCCCCCACTCAACACTGCCTGTCGCAGGCATAGGCATCAACCTTGGATTCTACCAATTGGCAGCTCACATCCCTCCCCCAAATGGAGAAGTTGAGGGGGTGGATTTCTTGTGCTAGAGAAACCTCCAAGACAAAGGACATGTGTGGCCCCCCAGGCCGAAGGCACCCCGGATTTGGAGCCTTGCGCTCGCTTGTCCCCTAAACATTTGACCGGCCCGCGGTCCCCAGGTTTAGGGTGCTCCCGTTTCTTCATCCAATGATGAGTGTACCCCCCAGTGTCAGAGGCGTGCAACAGGCACAGGCAACACCGCATCAGACACTTACAAAGAATGTCAGCAAGTCCCAGACCCGCATCTACAGAAAGGAGCTTGTGGCGAGTGGATCCGAGGATGCGCAGGCAGGTCACCATGTCTTCGCATGTTTTGCACGAGCCACGAGCACGAATGCCCCAGAGCGGCAGCAGGTCTACATATGGCATCGACACTACGGATCACTTTTACAGGCCGGCTTCACAAGTGCAGCCAGAAACGCAGTGGGGAAGCGGTGCAGAATCTCTGAAGTTAGAACTGTTTGGAACAATTTGGAACTCTATGAACTCTTGGGGCGTGGGGGCCAATTCGCTTTCTGGTAGAGCCGGCTGGCGCAGGTGCTTCCAGGGCACACTGCAACAGTGAATTCAGTCTGCCACGTGCTCAGTACCCAGAGTATTCGACACTTTCGGAGGGCATAGCAAAGGAATGCCAGAGCAACCTTACTGTCGGCTTCTGCCTCAGAATTACTGTAGTTCTGGAATGCCGGCTACTCTAGACGGCCACAGGAATGTCTTAGCCATCCTTGCCTGTTAAGGTTGGATGCCGGGGAATGCTGCCAGTGGTGCGCTTCGGCCGAACCCAGCGCACCAGCAGTGGGCATATTGAGAAGGTGGTTGGTGGTGGTTGGACTTGTATGACTTGTGTATACTTGTGTGCATCTATGAGAAACCGAGGAACCGGAGGATTCGCCGAGCAGCTGGCTGGTCTCGGCATCGGATGACTGTACTCTGAGGGACTGGGACTCGGCTCTCGTGTTCACCCATGTGTGAAGCCATGTGTCCGCCGTGTTCGTTATGTTCACCTTCTGTCTCTATTTGGCCTTCTGCGGCCCTCAGGTCTGGGGCACTGAAGCTGCCGAGCTCATGCCCGGCCCGCAGATGAATCTGGCAGACACGTGCCATCATGTGCCATTGTGCCGGAATGCAGCATCTGCTTTGAAAGCGTGAAAGCTTCAGACTTTACAGAACATGTAAAAGAAAATGCGTTGAGTAGCCTGCTCTGACCCAGGGACGATGCTGAGTCGGTAGAGGCCGAGGCGGGTCGCAGGAAGTCGTCGCAGGTTGTAGCTGGTAGCGGATGTAGGCCCGAGCTTCATGGGCCTGGGGCAGCATGGGGGCAGCCAGGCAGGTCCCTGAAGGCACATCGAGCCTGTAGAAATCCAGCCGCAATCAGACTTCCCCCGCCGCCTTCAAAGGGAACCAGATGTAGTCAAATCTTGATTGTACAGTTTCTTAGTTGACGCCCAGCCTTGCAGCATGGAGCAACGATGGCGTGGCTTGCTGGAGGAGCTGAGCAAGGAGTTTGAAGGCCAGAACTGCAGCTGTCCTAAGCATTCTTGAGTATGCCGAATCTAACACGAGCGAATGGTCGGGTAAGGGCAAAGAAGGGATCGCCAGGAGCGTTTGCCCACAAAGAAAAGAACAGAAGGCCAGGAGTTGCTATCATTCCAGAAGATCCTCAGTGCGAAATTGCATTCCTTGAGCCCCAAGCAAGTCGGGAGTGGGAGCCGCAAGCCCCAGCAAGAAGCAACACAAAGAAAACACAAGGAAGACCAACACAAACCGCACAGACGCAGCAAAAGCAAAGACAGCGGTACATGAAGGCAAGATACCACGAAACGAAACGACGAAGAAATTGAGCAACAAGAAGCGAAGAAACGACAAACCAAAGAATCGCAGACCCATAAACACAGCGAAGCGAGGAAACACCCAAAATAACACACAGAAGCAACCAGCCCCAGAACCAAAGACACAAATACACCAATTTACCAACCAACAGAGACGACACAGAACGCAGAAACACCGAAGAAAGCACTCAAATAAACGAATAAGGAAAGCATTGACCCAAGTAAATATTTTACACAATAGAAGGTTGAGTTGCTCGTTCAAAGCCTTTCCATCCTAATTGATAGAACTTTGTTGGGTTGCCCATCGACGAACCACGAAGAAAGAAAGCGCCGAGCCTCCCTGCCAAGGCCAAGCGGCTTTGATGGATGACCTTCGCACGAAGAACCGTCAGCTGGAAGAATCGTTAGCAAGTGCAGCTGCTTCTCGTGCCATACAGCGTTCACGTTCACCCAAGTCCTGGGACGTGGTTATCAACAGCACAGCCACCCTGAAACGAACCATAAGCAAAGGCAGGCCGGCAACGCCTCAGCAGACTGCGCCTTGCGTGTGGATCGAGGGGTCGGACCTGGACACGGATCAGCTCCAAGACCTGCCGTCGCGTTCGAAGCTTTCGTTTCATGGACCTGGCTCCCCTCATGGACCTGGCTCCCCTGGCACCCCTGGCGATTCTAGCGCCTTGTGGCAAGCGGGTTCAAGCATCGCAGCGAGCATTGGCGCAAAGTTCAAGGCTTCGAGGGACGAGAAGCCGTTGCAGACCTTCAAATCACGAACGGGCTCCAACCAGTCCAAGGCAGGAGGTTAGTTTTGGGCTTACATGGGTTTACGCTTTTTTTTGTGTGTGTGTGTGTGTGCAGCTGTGAAGAGCTTATGTCGTGAAATGGAGGTCATTGATGAGGGTATCCACTTCTCAGTCCTCAGAGCCCACAAGACGGGCATGTTGACCGTGCAGAAGCCATGGTTTGTCATCAACCCCGACCGCAGCCGACTGGCAAGCACTTGGCAATTTGTGATGAGCTTTGCGTTGCTCTTTGTGGCCTTGGTCACTCCAGTCCAAGTGTCACTGTTGGAGCCGGGCCTGGATGCTGTCTTCGTGGCTGGCTTCATTGTCGACTTCATCTTCTTCGTTGCTCGGGGATGGCGTTGTGGTGGTTGTTTGATTAGTTGAGGTGTGAGATTGCACCGATAGGGCTAAATTATGACAGTTGACGTGTTCTTCACCTACGTAGGTTGACCTTGTCATGCAGTTTTTCACCGCCTACTCCACAACAACGCCTTATGGCGTGATTTGGGAAGTGCGTGTCTCCCACATTTGCAAGCACTACCTGAAGACTTGGTTTCTGGCACGGTGTTGAAATACGAGAGAGTCAGTTTAGTTTTGACAGAGCCGCGAAGCCTTAAGGTATGGCTAAGGAAAACTGCTAGGATTGACGGAGTGGAAGCAGATACCTCAGAATCGCGAAGCCGAAGCCCCTGAGGTGGACCTCATTACGGTCATACCCTTCGACTTCCTGGCGCTGTTCCTGCGCGTGACCTTTTTGAAGGACCTTGTCGGGATCAAGGCGATCCGTGCCCTTCGCCTCATCAAGCTCGTGCGGCTTATGAAGGCATCTAAAATCTTGCAAGATTTGGAGGCGCCGCTCTCCATTCCTTACCAGAAAGTTGCCCTCATCAGGTTCGTCTTGGTCCTCGGCTTGACGTGCCACTGGCTTGCGTGTTGTTGGGCGGTCACACTCTCCGTCATCGACGAAGGCTTTCCGCGCTGGATTGATGACATCGCAGAGGCAGACCTGCCATTCGGAGTGGTCACCACAGACTCGCCCTACCGCATCTATGTTGCATCTTTCTACTTCTGTGCGTACACCCTTACCTCAGTGGGTTATGGTGATATCAGCCCCAAGAACATAGTCGAACGCATGATTTGCTCAGGGCTCGTATTGACAGCTGGCCTGTCTTGGGCTTACGTGATTGGCGAAGTGGGTGCGATCACTGCAGACATGACCTCCGAGAGCCAGGAGTTTCGCAAGACAATGCACCATTTGAATCAGATGATGGAGGATCAGAGAGTTCCTTTCGAACTGCAGGTACGCGTGAGGCGTTACTTCCTACAAAACAAGTATCAGTCAACCCACATGTCACGGCAGGCTCTGCTGAAGCGCATGAGCCCGCAACTTCAGGCTGAAATCTCAGTCACGACGAACTTGCTGTGGCTGGAGAAAGTGAGCTTTTTCAAGAGCTTCATGGGCTACATCGCGAAGCAGAGTAGACTGGGAGTCTACACTGCCCCTTACGAGGCTTGTGTGGCTGACGTTGCGAGAGCCCTGAATGTGGCTGCCTTCGCCCAGCAAGAGACCTTCCACAACGTGCAGGTGTTGTACATCCTGTCCAAGGGCTTGGTTGCACTTAACAGCCGCGTTCGCTCTCTGGGTGTGGTTTGGGGAGAGGACTTTGTCTTGTCGGACACCACCCTGATCCGCCCAGTGGCCTGCTATGCGCTCACGTACGTTGAGCTGTTCAGCCTGACCCGCGAGGACTTCATGCAAATCATCCAGAGGCGGCGCTTCACCTGCCCGGAGCTCTACCGGGTCGTGCGCCGCTACTGCGTCTGCATCGCGGTCTACCGCGGGATCCTGGCTGAGGCCAGGCGGCTGCAGCTGGTCCGAATCCAAGAGGAGGTGGACCGGTTGAAGGCCGAGTCCAATTGGCCCGAGAAGCTCACAGAGCTCCAAAGAGTGCAAAGAGATTCCATGCGAGGTTCCAAGCCGGAGATGGAGTCTGAGTCCTGGAGCTCCCTGAGCCTCCCAGGGGCATGCGAAGACAGGTGAGGGCGGGGGAGTTGCTTGCCATTTCTTTGACAAGAGTTGCATGTGGCAAGGACGTCGCCCCAAGGCCTGTTTCTTGTTTTTGAGCCGGTGGTGCAGAATGTGCAGAGCCGGTCTCGTATTCGCGGAAAGGCGTCGCGTGTGTTTCCTACATATTTACTGTTCCTCTTGCAGCGTTTTTGCGTAGATTTTCGCTTCGGCGCGAGCAGTAGCAGCTCCATGGTGGTTCGTGGCGCCACGTCAACAACTCCCTCAGGCGAGTCCTGACGCCTAGTCATACCTGCAGTGGATCAGATGTACTAAACAATGTACTGGTCGCTCGAGGGTGTTCCGGGGGCTGGCCTCCGCCTTCTGCTCGAAGAAATCGTCAGATGCTCCCGGATGGCCAGCCTTCGTTGCCACATTCAATTTTGGGGCTCCCGTCACTGAGTTTCGGCAGTTCCAGTGAGCTCACTTTACAGATTCAGATCGGGTACGGAGCCAGTAACATCGTCCAGTTCCCTGATTTCCCAAGAAATCTCGGGCTTTCCGCCTTGTGTGCAAAGCAAACCTGACTGACAGACCAGGGCTGCTCCACGGCACCAGTTGACATCGGTCCGCCGAACTGGAAAAAAAGGCAACCCAGCAGGACTAGTATGGGAATGCACGCTTCATGCGTGGCACCATGTGCCCTGTGGGCCGGCCGGTTGAGCACATTTCGCCACTTCGTTCTTTGTTTATATGTATATATGTATATATATATATATATATGTATTTCTTCTTCTTCTTCTTCTTATTGTTATTATGTTGTGTTTTTTCTTCTTCTCTGGGGGGGGGAGGTTGGGGCTGAGTAGGCCCTGGCGTTTAACAGAATTTCTACCAGTACCCGAAGCCCCAAAAAACCCCAAGAAACCCCAAGACCCGTGAATAGCAAAGTCTTTCAAGCTCCTGCCGCTTCGAGAGCAGGCGGCATCGGGAGATGAGTTTCAGAGGCTGGAGAGTCCAGAACTTGCACTTTTTGCGCCCTTCGCTGACTTAGACGCTGGAGGCAGACTGATGGTTTAGGGTTTTGGGGGCAGGGTTCGGGTATAGGAATTCGTGTCCCTCAGCGTGTTCTGCATGTTGCCCTGATGGCCGATATCGGGCTCACAGAGCTGCTGGCTCGGGCGGTTCCTTTCGGCCACTTTGGTGGGAAAATACCTGCTACCAGGCGAGGGCATGTGCGTAGGGCATGCCAGGTGTTCTCATGAGCTCTTTCTAAGATTACTGTTGCTGAATAAATCGGTTCTTGACGGCTGATCGTGTACAGCATGTCTACTCGATGATTGAGGGCCGCAAGTTGTCCCTCGCCGCATCTGAACACATCTGAAGACTCCATTCCCGGGCCGCCAAGGGAGTGTGTCGTGATCGCGCAGTCTGCCAGGAAGGAGGAGGCCTTGGAGATTTCAAATCTCCATAAAGCGTTTCAGCACCAACATGCCAGCAGGACAGTTCGATTCAGAGACGCTCATCTCCTCAGTGGTGTCAAAGAAAAATGCGTGCAGCAGTGATGTGGATGACAACGGTGCCTTACCAGATGGCACGTGAATCAAGTTTTTCCTTGTTTATATTTGTTTTCTCGAATGCGGGCAGCGGAGGTTCACGTCGTAAGTTTCTGTGTTCGCAAGCGATCGAAAACGTTCGAAAGCGCCCGAAAGAGTGGCGCACATCGAGCTGTAGTTCTGGAAGTCCAAAGGTTTTGGCATCGTTTCGGGCTCTGTGTGTAAACTAGAGTCGCTTTTGGACAGCGACGAGGATTCGAGGATGAGGTACGCGAGTTGTGCCATCCTCGTAACTGTCGTCACGTTTGGAGCCTCGTTTGTTGTGTGGAGCCTCGTTTGTTGTTCGCGCTTCAGAATTGAGGACAGTCACGAGGAGGACGAGGCAAGCGGGGTGCGCCGTCCTTGTGACTGTCGCCACTTTTGAACCTTCGTTAGGCTTTGGGGCCACAAAAGTGCTGGCAGTTACGGGCTGAGGCGTAACTGCCGGCACTATGGAACCTTGTGTTGACGCTTCAAAATCGCCAGAGAGAAGGAGAATGAGAAGGAGAGAGAGACAGAGAGAGAGAGAGGCAGGGCGTATATGTCACACCGACTGAGACATGGATTTGGGCGCGCCTTGTGCGTGGAGGGTGCTCGCGTGCCCTTCATGCCCCGAAGAAAGAAAAGGAGGGAGGGAGAGACAGAGGAAAGATGGGAGGGAGATGAGAGAGTTATGTGTTATGTGAGAGTTATGTATGAGAGAGGGATGAGAGATGCGAGACAGATGAGAAAGAGCTGAGAGGGAGAAGAGACAGATGAGAGAGTGAGAGAGCGAGATATACGAGAACGAGAGAGAGAGAGAAGAGACAGATAAGAAACAGATGAGACAGACAAGAGACAGATAAGAGACAGACAAGAGAGAGAGAGAGAGAGAGAGAGAGAGAGAGCGAGAGAGAGAGAGAGAGAGAGGGGGCGACCTCCTCCGGGAGGTCACGCGCGCTGCAAGCAAAAGCAAGCAAGAGGGAGAGAGAGAGAGAGAGAGAGGGAATGGGGGGGGTCCGGCGAGTGCACGACTGGCAAATATGGGGAGGGGGGGAGACGGCGGGGCAAGTGGGGCTCGAACTCACTCAGCAGCTGCTCCACGAGCTGAACACAGCAGGGGACGCCAAAGAACAGAACACAGACAGGCAACAACAACACCAGCTTCAAGCAGCGGTGAGAGAAATCCTCACCCACATTCACCAAGCCATAGAGGCCCACGAAGTGGTGGTGGAAGCAGAATGGCTGGAACCCGCTGAAAAGGACCCAACACCCACACAGATGCAGCACCCAGAGGCGGGGGGGGCCACGAATGCACACCCGGCGGATGTGATCAGCCTAGCAAAAGGGGGGACGGAAAGCCACAGCAACAGAACTGCGCCGGCACACCACACCGACAGCACAGGGGTCACCACGGCCAGAGGGCTCCTGGCCAGACTCATGCCCTTCCTGGTCCAGGAGGAGGCGGCCATAGCTGCACAAGCCACCAATGCGCTGGATGACTGGCTCCACACACAATGGGGTGAACCCATTGTCCTGCTAGAGTCCCAACGGGCGGGGGAGGGACTGGCGGCAAGCACAGAGGCGGAAGCGCCTCAGTCGAAGGAAGGCACGGGGGAAGACACGCCGGACACGATACCATGGCACCCGCCCCCACCCGTGACACAGGGGCAACCAACAGCGGCGAGCCAAACCAACCCCGAGTCCCTGACAGAGCGGACCACCAACACGACGCACTGGCACCCACCACACACACACGCACCACCACCACCCCACTCACCTAACCACGCACATCATAGAGAGCCCACGGAAGAGTTCACATCATCGCAGTCGGAGGGGGAAGAACGAGAAGAGTGGGGAGGAAAGCGGCCAAGAGGGTGGGGGCTACAACGACGACACCACCAAGTACAAGAACGATTGGACTCGCGGAGAAGACGCACACATGAAGGGGCTAGCAGTGATTGAACACCCCAAAGAGGGACAGAGAGTGTTGCTGGGGCTACAGAGGGGGGACAGTCGTGAAAGGTCTTGGTAGCCAGTTGTTTACGGGTTTGCTCAAAGGTCTTGGTTGCCATTCGTTTGCAGGTTGCACTCGTTGTAATGACTGAAACCCCACCCCCGCTGAGCCGGAAACACCCCAATGAGGGACTGACCATTTGCTGGGGGTACAGAGGGGGGGCAGCCACACGATTTCTTCGTCTTGTCGATGTGTAGTGCACCCTAAATGTGGCAGAGGCTCCAACCCAGCTGAACAGAAAACGCCCCATCGAGGGATAAGCAACCTTTTGCTGGGAGTACAGAGGGGGGGCAGTCGCACACAGTATGTACTCATTCACATGTTTGCCTTCTCGTACTCGCTGTCTGGTTACACCCCATCTTGCGACAGAAACCCCACCCCCAGCTAAGCCGCGAACACCGCGGCTGACTCGCATGACACTGGGGACTTGCGCGCCCTCCGGGGCAGCTCTCCCTTCGGGGGGGGCTAAGCGTGCAGAGAGAGAGAGAGAGAGAGGGAGAGAAAGGTGAGGGAAGAAAGTTAGAAGAGTGAAACCAGAGAGAGAGAGAGAGAAAGTGAGAGAAAGTAAGAGAAGTTAGCAACCTACTTGATGCCGCCCTTGAAAACAGGAGGCGAGGCATCACAAATGGACCTTAGGATTTGCGCGTCCTCCGGGGCCAGTCCCCTTCAAAGGGCCATGGTTGCGGAGGGAGGGAGGGAGGGAGGGAGGGAGAGAGGGAGAGAGGGAGAAAGAGGGAGAGAGGGAGAGAGAGAGAGAGTCAGTGAATGAGTGAGTGAGTGAGTGAGTGAGAGAGCGAGAAGAGGGAGACAGTAAGAGAAAGTGAGAGAGAATGAGAACGGAAAAGACACTTAGCGTTTGATCTCGTGTCGTGCGCCGCGTTTTTTTGAACCACGTTTGTGTTCGGGCTCGTGGCCCGTATGAGATTCTTGTTTTTTGTTTGGGGGGGAGTCGGGGTGGGGAAGGGGTGAGTTGGGCAGGTTCGAGTTTCAACGATGGCGAGAGTTGCAATCGAGATCGGCGGCCTGGAGCAAGTTTACAAATGGCATGGCTACGAGGTTGAGCCGTGAAGTTGAGGCACTTGCTGGGCAATGTCAGCGACCTTAGGATTCAACACATTGGGCCTACTCATCGAGACCCCTCTCCTGGTGATACTTCGCGGCAGCTGGGCTCAACACCAACCTGGCATGACATCATATGCCAAGATATTGATTCTCAAGACCCATATGGTTCTTGCGGGTATGGGGCGCTTCCCAGGCTTTATGACCATTCTGTCCGCTAGCGATCTCACCAAGAAACAGATCAGCAACAAGGCGAGGGTCTGGAGTTTGGGGCGCATGGCTTCGTGAAGATGTTTTTTGCATCTTGCAAGTCTCACACCACCCTTCCAGCTCGAATCGGACATTATCATTCTTTGATATTCTTTGTCATGTCAGTGTCTGCACAGCCCAGGGAAAGTACCGACGTCAGTTGTGGTTTCTGTTTGTTGCTGTTTATCGGGTTCTGGCCTGGTGCAACCAATGGACACACTTCACACTTGGACATGCGTGACACATTTGTTCGGTCAGCTTGCTTGGTGAGACGCAGGCCTTGGAACAGCGCGAGACCCGTCACGAGCAGCCACGTGAAGAACATGCCGCACCAAACAGGTGCAACTTGAACGCACAGAGGCTGGTGCAACCTTCCCATGTCTCAGGATCGGCTGCAGACTTATTTCAGAATACACACAGGACACACACACAACGTACGTACGTACGTACGTACGTACGTACGTATATATATATATATATATATATATATATTCTAGTATAGATGCTAATCCCCAGCACCAAAGGGGAGTGCAGTTTCCATAGCGACAGAAGGGCCGCTTCAACAGCCTGCTGACGCAGTGTTGCCAAGCAGGCTTGTCCTCACAACATCTCGCAACCCATATACTGTCCTGGTGCACTCACTCGGGGCATTGGCCGTGAGTTCCTGGCCTTCGCCTATAAAGCGCAGGGTCGAGTTCATGGACCGCGAGCCTTTGTTGAAGGGCTGTCGATGATGCTTGCGGAGGTTCCGTGAGATGGTGCAAGGGAAGGAACCTTTTTGCAGCGGTACTCTGCGTGCCGTCCCATCCATCCATAGCGACAAACCCTTGCTGAGGACGAAACACTTGTACGCAAGCTACTCGCAGCCCTGTTGTGTTATCGGGTAACAAGCTACTGGGGCACCCACCTCACAGGCCGAGAAGGCAGCATTGGATAACCAAACATGAAACTCTCAACGCGGTGTTCGCGCAATTCTGAATTGTTTTGGATATCTGGTTTCCTAGGCAGTCCTGCTTTTCCAGGCAAGAAGCATTTTGGAAGACAGGTAGTGCTGTTACCGGGCAAAATATAGATCAAATGCTACATGCAAATATAGATACTAGTGAAA